GACTTGTCACTGAGAAATATAACACCTCATATCTATTACTGTTTTTTATTTGTTTGTTTGTTTGTTTTGGGGAACTTGCCAAAGTAGTAGGATTACTATTCACTGAACCATGTTTGAGTTTTCTTAGAGTTTTAATGTAAAACCTATTTCCAGGGCAAATTTTGTCACTTTACATTCATTAGGGGAAAAAAAATCTGGCAGGAAAAAAATGAAAAAAAAGTATTACCTTTTACAAATTCAGTGTTTTTTAAAAAAACATAAACCACAAGAGCATTAAAAAAACAACTGTACCCTCGAATGATTCTTTAAAAGTAACAATATTTAAAATAAAGTCTTAGATAATTAACTCATTTCAAAATATTTTCATTCAGGTTATGCTTGAGCTTCCAAATATGGAAAACTGGCCCTTACCCAGGTCAATGTTAAAATGAATGCATTTCAGTATTTTGAAGATGAAATTGGTAGATCTATACCTTGTTTTTTGATTCAATATCAGCACCGTATAAGAGCAGTGCTTTCGCCATTAATTTATCTTCATTGTCGATAGCATAGTGTAGAGCAGTATTTCCATACTCATCTGGAATATTTGGAGCAGTGCCATGTTCCAGCAACATTAATGCACATTCATCTTCTTGGCATTGTACAGCCTGTCAGTATTAGACCAAAAATAAATTATAAGTCCTGAGAATTAAAAATAACATTCCACAGCTTTCACCAACTAGTTCCATTTAAATGAGAAAACTCATTTTTATGCTATGTATTGAAATCAAAGCCATCTCACGCTGATATAGTTGAATACTGCATACCTTGATCAGAGCTGTCCTCTTCTTGTTGTCAAGGACGTTAAGTTGACATCCTCTGTCCAGCAGGAGTTTTACTATTTCTGAATTCCCATTGGCAGAGGCCAGATGTAGAGCAGTCCTATGACAGTGAGAAGACTTTTTAGGAAATTGTAGTGCACTATCTACAGCTACATCAATGATTCATGCAATAACAAACACAGAATAGCCTGCTATTACTCTGCCTTCAAAACAAACTTATTTTCCCTTTGAAGAAAGCACACTACTTATTACCTCATGACTCACTGTATGAATGAAAGAGCAGCCTATTTGAATAGGAAGAGCAGAGCCCTTGAGTGGCATTCAACGTGGGCTGGAATCCTACTTGAAGCTCTGATGCTTCCCAGCTGTTGCTTACCCTTTTTGGCTCTCAATTTCCTCATCAATAAAATGGGAATGAAAAGAGTCCATTTCTCAGAGGAAACCACAGTAATGCTTAAATAAGACTCTACACGAAAGATATAGAATAGTTCCTAACACAAATAACAGCTCAGTAATTGTAAGATATTATAATTTTTACTAATACCACTAAAGACAACATTTGAATTTAGTGAGATGATACAATTATACCTACACTTTCAGGTATGTTTTAAAGATTACAGGTAACGATGTATTTTAGTGATTCTAAGATGATCATTGTCTCTATGTTTTACCATTTCTCACACTGAAATACCACTTATAATTCATGATTTACTATAACTATAATTGGCAGGATTTAAATAATTCCCTTATTGAGACACACAATAATGGGGCATCATACAATCCCTGGTGCCTTACATTAAGTAGAATATGTTACAATATAACAGGTCTGGGGCGGTTCCAGTCAGATGACTAGCATTTAGATAAATTTTAATTCTTAAAAGAAGTATGGAATAAGAGGGCTGAGGTGAAAACACAAACAAATTTCTAAAATTATCTATTTCTTACTTTGGTTTTCAAAAACTTTAAGCCAAAGAAAGCTTGAAATTCAAATGAATGGCATGGGTTCATTTTTATCAATACTTAGATTTATACAATGTATGTACATTAGATATTTCCAATCATTCATAATAGGATTTAAGACTGTTATAATTCTTCTCCTTTTAAAACAGATTTATGAAACTATTTGTGGAGCTTTTTTTCAACGTTTACTTTCAGTGGTACTGGTGCAGGATGTGCAGGTTTGTTACATAGGTAAAAATGTGTCAAGGGGGTTGGTTGTACAAATTATTTCATTACCCAGGTGTTAAGCCCAGTACCCATTAGTTCTATTTGCTGCTTCTTTCCCTCCTCCCACCCTCCACCCTCTGATAGGCCCCAGTGTGTGTCGCTTCCCTCTAGGTGTCTGTGCGTTCTCATCATTTAGCTCCCACCTATAAGTGAGACCGTGCGGTACTTGGTTTTCTGTTCCTGTATTAGTTTGCTAAGGATAATGGCCTTCAACACCATCCATGTCCCTGCAAAGGACATGCTCTCATTCTTTCTTTTATGACTACATAGTATTCCATGCAGCTTGTGTACCATATTTTAGTTCTTAAAAGTACTAAAACAGTCTTTACCCAAGACTTATACATTTTCAGAAGGGTAGTTGAGGGTTATCTTTTACTATTGTCTACCTTCACAAATGCTTTTGTTTGAAAGGAGGGAGGAAAAGTTTCAATTGAGATTACCTCCTAATGCCCCAATTTTAAATCTCTCAACTTGCTCAGGCCCAGCAGGTAAATATGAGGTTTTCAAAGACGGAAGGATCCTGAGAGATGGTAGAATATGCCTTTTACATAATAGGTGTCTGGCTTATGTTTGATGACTACACGGATTGAAAGAATGCATAAACACAGCTTGGGAGTTCAATATTTTTAAAGAATGCTCCTGTTGAGTAGAGCAATACATTTACAATAGCAATGGTCATTTATCTTTGCTATTTTAGTTTTCATAAATATATAACTAAAATAAAATAATTAATTCATACCTTTTACACATTTTATATATAATGAAAAGATAATTTTATAATAAAATGTATATACAATAAAATCTACAGGAACAGGTAAACAGAAACCCTCTACTTCTCAAGAGGGTAAAAGTTCACAGAAGATAGCTATCCACAGGAATAAAAATAAATAATAAAATATGAGAAATTATTTGTATCTATGCAAGTAGCACATTCCTTCTCTTCCCAAGGATTATTTCATTACTAGTGAAATTTAACTAAAACTTTTCAGATATTCATTGCAGAAATCACAGATAAGAAAAAGGGAAGAACTTCACTTACAAATCCCCAGAAATAAGTTTGATTATGTTTTCTACATATTTTCAGGTAACACAAGAGCAGATTCTGTTTGTGTAGGTGTATAACAAACTGATTTTTTCCTCACTTCATATAGCAAAGTACATCTTTGCATGTCAACGTATCTCTGTATCCACTGACACCTTCAATGGTTACATATTATTTCATCCTATGGATGCACTGAAATTTTTGCATAAAATCTTTATGTGAGCTCTTCTGAATACACTGCTATTTTAAGCAATACTAAGAAAAACATATGTGTCTATTTCATATAGATATTTCAGTATAATAGAGTTGATAGGTAAAAGGCATACACATTTTTAACATGTGGTTCTTATCATCAAAGTGTGTTAGAAAAGTTGCAGCAGCTTAAACTTTCAGCAACTACATAAGTACCACTGTTCTTCACCCTCACAAACTTTGTGGATAGAAGACAGTATTTCATTCCTTTATTTATTTATTTTTATTATTTACTTATTTATTTATTTTTGAGATGAAGTCTCATTCCATCATCCAGGCTGGAGTGTAGTGGTGCAATCTCAGCTCACTGCAACCTCCGCCTCCCTGGTTCAAGCAATTCTCCTGCCTCAGCCTCCTGAGTAGCTGGGATTACAGGTGCATGCCACCATGCCTGGCTAATTTTTTGTATTTTTTAGTAGAGACGGGGTTTCACCATGCTGGCCAGGCTAGTCTCAAATTCTTGACCTCGTAATCCACCTGCCTTGGCCTCCCAAAGTGCTGGGATTACAGGTGTGAGCCACCACGGCCGGCCTTTCATTCCTCTTCTAACTTAAATAGAAAACAGTATTTCATTCCTCTTTAACTTAAATTCCTTCTCTTACCAGGAACACTACGTTTTCCTATGTGCACAGGTCACTGGTAGATATGCAAAAAAGTACCTTGCCCAATCTTAAATTGAGCTTATTTTATTATATCTGCATATATATGCTTGGTTCAGTGGCTCAGGCTTGTAATCTTAGCACTTTGGGAGGCTGAGGCGGGTGGATCGCATGGATAGGAGTTCAAGACCAGCCTGGCCAAGATGGTGAAATCCTGCCTCTATGGAAAGTACAAAAAATTAGCCAGGTGCGGTGGCGGGCACCTGTAATCCTAGCTACTCAATAGGCTGAGGCAGAGAATTGCTCGAACCCGGGAGGCGGAGGTAGTAGTGAGCTGATATTGTGCCACTGCACTCCAGCCTGGGCAACAGAGTGAGATTCTGTCCCAGAAAAATAAATAAATAAATAAATAGTTGCATATATATAATAGGCTTTTGTGTTTTCTTCTGGTACTTTTCTCCTTTTGTATATTTAAAAATTTTAATCTATACTCCAGGAACTTACTTTTGTGACATAAAAATCTAGCTAGTTTTCTACAAACAGCATGCATTTCACTTATTAATGATTAATCTTGCTTTATCAATATGAAACATCACCATTATCAAGTGTTAAATTCTTACATATATTTGGGTATTTCTGGATTTCCTATTCTGTTCCATTCACTGATATTTTTTCAGCTGTCAGTAAACAATTTGTGGAAATAGCACATTCACATTTTGATATCTGGAAAAGCAAGTCTTTTTCCATTCTGTTACCAAAAATTAATTTATTACAGCAATAAAATACAGGATGTGCAGTGTAAAAATGCTAAAACTTTGCTATTTTTATTTTGCTTATGTGAAAGTGATAAACACAGAAAAAGCTCACATCTTAAGAAAAACGAATCTTCCTATTCAATGACACAAACCATCTTCCCATTTCAGTTTCCTTGTAAGGTTCCTCAGTAAAGGACGTATTTACATAGGGTACATTGATATAAAATCCACATTGGATTTTATTTGAAAAATATTTAGCCCAGAAGTTGATCTGTTATGGGACTTAGTTCTCAATATACACCTTTCTATAATGTATAGAACATTTTTTAATATGTGTACATTAAAAATAATCTGCTGCATTGACTTAATTTTGCGATTTAAGTCACTTTCAAACAGTCTAGTAGTGTTCTATAAGGGAAATTATAATCGGATAGGAAATCAGCTAAAATTTTGTTTCTGTGCTGCTGTTCATAAAGGGCCTGTGCCCTGACCTCTCTGAGGTTTCCACACCCAGGGTGGTGTGGGGCCTGCGGAAGAGAAAACCAGGACCCGACCCCGCCAGGAGGGGTATGTCCCCATCATCCCCCCACGTCCCGCCTCCTCCCAGCCCAGGCCCGGTTACCTCTTTTGCTTGTCCGTCTTGTTCACGTCAGTGTCCCTGAGCATGACGATGAGATCCTTTCTGGGGACTTTACCCCACCAGGCAGCTCTGTGGAGCTTGTCCAGATCTTCTCCACGGACGTGGTACCTGGGCTCCATGAAGGCGCTGTCGTCGTAGTCT